CATGCGAGACGGTGCAGGTATTTAGATGTTGCTGTGAAATGATTGCTGGGGGCTATGTTGGTCCAATTAGTGTGTTTAAAGTCACGGGTGAGTTTCTGCTGTGTTCCCAGCTCACCCAGTCAGCACATATGGCCGAGGGCCCTTCATCCACAGAGTTAATTAGACTGTCAGGATCCATCGGACTCACCGTGGACTCTCTCCTCCCCACACGTACAGGTGGTCAGATCTCCGGCTGCCCACAGTTTTAGAGCTGTTACTTAGCGCCGTGCACTCGCCATATGTCCTGTAAAGACAACTTTCATTCACTTTCACTCGTTTGATTATATCATCATAATATCTGCAGATATATTTAGCACGCAGAAAGAAATGTGCTTTTGTTCCCTGCGTTAGAGAGAAGGAAACGTGGTCAAGTGAATTGTTGGCTCCCCGCTGATATTGGTTTTGCTCACCGGCAGTGCGAAGAAACGCTGCAAAACCGTCAGACTGAAAGTGTTAAGGGTGCTCTGGGCACAGACTGCGAGCATCTTGAACTCTAGTTCGTGTAGGAGTAGAACGAATCGCTGTCCTGGAAACCATGCCATTGCTGCAGTATGTGTGATTGGTACATTTTGATGGAACAAGTACACAAATAAAGTATACAAGAAGCAGAGTATGTATAATTTGTTTTAAAGGGTCATGTCACATGCGAGATCTTTGGAGATCAAAAACCGTGATGTACTATGAATACTTTCAGAACTGAAAACTTCCTCAATAGTCGAAGAAAGAGCTTTGATTGGAGCTGGAATGCAAACATGGATTTCTGATGTCAGGAAGTTAAGGATCATGAAAGTCTGTCATACTGACGAGCTGTGCAAAAAATTGCGCGAATATGGACGTGGTTTTGCGCAGCTCGTCAGTGAACAATGGCTCTGTGTAGGTAATGCTTCTTAATGTGAAAGCCCGCAGGTGATGGAGATTTACTGCTGATTACAGAACCGGCTTTACTCATAAGATGCGCGTTAAATATCGCATGCGATTTATCGTGCAGCCCTAGTACAATACGATACGATATGATGCGATATGTTACAGTACGATACGGTATATCGATCCTCAGTGTTGTTATCATTATAGTTGTAGTGTCAACTTCCCTATTCTCATGGAATAAGAATGCTTATTAAAATTAATAGTTATTGTCCTTGGTGACAACGGGCCTTTACGCTTGTTTGATGTGGACATTTGGCTTGCAGATAATAATAAAGTAGCATGCATTCTGTTTTTCCACAAATGCCACTACAACTAACAAGAGTAAAGTCTGTCATACCTTATGCCGTTCCTGGCTTTACATACCATCTGCACATCCCTGTGAAGAATCCCAATGTTAGAAAAAAAGTGATTGAAAAACAGCCTGTGAATGTGAAAACGGACACACCAAAACTTATATAAATGACTAATTTGACTAAAACGATCTACATTGGCAGCAACTCTGCACATACACATACACAACATCATGCTCCTCATATAAAGTGCATGGGAGGTTCGAATTGTAATTGATTTCAGTGGAGTTTAATGTTTGCATGTTGCTGTGTTAGCATGTTACTGAAGCCCTGCTAACACCATAAGATGCGTTTTCAGTGAGGCAATCACAAGTGGTCAGCCAAAACAAATACTGTTACCACCTGGGATTGAAATGCATTTCAGATGCATCTCCTCTGACCACTTCTGAACAAGAATTATTCTAATCCTGAACTCACACTTTGGTGATGTAAACCAGTGCCGGTCCAATGGGATACAAGTGCTCAGGTCCAGTTACAACTTGCTGGTGTTTTTGAATAAGATTCATCTGTGCACCATATGAAAAAAGAAAAACCTTTGAAAAAAAGCTTGAGCTTTTTAAGTATTTTAAGGAATAAAGCTGTGCTTTCAGGTGCAAATGATTTCAGCCACTTGATGTTTTGAATGGGAGCCTGGTCTGATGGTGTTAGATTTACCCCCGAGCCTAAAACTCAACGAGCTGAAATGGGCCGCCAGTGTGGCAATCACTCCACTCACACACAGTGATGAAAAGTCCCGTTTACTGCTGCTATTTCTGCAGCCAGTAAAGAGAGATTAAAAACCCTCTTTTGACGTACAATGCCGACTGCGAGTTTGCGACTTGTTTTAAAACGTGTCGTGCACTATATGGGTTGGCTGATGGATTACCTGAGGACTACATTACTGTGCGTAGTGTACAATAGCACGTGGGGGACCACCCTGACCCACATCACGTTTTCATGTCGTTTGACGAGCATTCATCACAACACTGAATGCGCTTCAAAAGAAAATAACCGAATGCGAGACATTTGGCGAGATCATTAAGTAATGACAACTCCATATTTGCTACATGTACGCATTACTTTGAGGTGAATTTTGGGGCATGCATACATTTGCATTCATTTGCATGTTTAAGGTGTGCAGAGACACTGGCAGTCCTTTACAGACAAAGCTGATAAATCAAAATGAAGGGGGCTCTTAAAACAAGTGCAGCAGTTTGGTTACCTTGGTGATACAACCGTTCAGTCGGATAGGAAGAGCGCTCCTAATTACCTATGAATATTTATAAGTTGGTCCTCTGAAGACCCACCCTGGGAATATAATGGGTCAGACCGGCTGGGGCTGATGCTGCCATCCTGACGGGAGGCATAGAGGAATACAACTACTTCTACCGTTTATCAGAGGACACGTGGCACACAGCAGAAGGTGATGTTATATGGAAACACCCACCACCAATGAAGTGCTAACAGCTTTCTGGAAGCTTTTTTCCCCCTTCTTCTTGGTAATTGGATCCATTTGGGCCATTAAAGCTGATGAAGTTGAGCTCTGTTTCAAAACCTTGTGAGCTGCTTTGCCCGTCTACTGCCTACTTAGGCACCTTCCTTTTAAGGCAGGAACTGAAATGGAACTGACTGATTTGGGCGTGCTTCTTAGGTAGCAACTCAAAAACAATATATATTTTTTTTCACTGAGTTGGTAGCAGTGCTTTCAGGGATTGTTGTTTCTGAAAGATACATGTGATGCTTCTTTAGTATTTGGCCACAAAAACGTATCTTAGAAGGAATAGAATTTGCATCATGCCTATGATGCTTTAAATTGTTGTCCTTGTTGGAGAAAAATACTCTACAGAAAATGTAACCGTTTAAATTGAGAACAATCTTCATCATAGCATAGTATGTGTGGGTACAAGTGTATATTTTTAGTTGAGGTCTTGATTTTGGTACTCTAGTAGAAATTAATTATCCCAAATGGCATAGTTCAAAATGTAAAACTTGGTCCATCTCGGCTGACATCACCATGGCCTTGCGGGCTATTGGTTAACCAATGCCAAATATCTATTTATTTATTGTTTTTGACTTCTGCAGGAAATGCTGCTGTAATTATGCTAATGCCAAAATGCCAAAATTATGCTAGTAAAGTAATTAAATGGAGGTTAAAGGGATAGTTCACCCAAAAATTAAAATTCTGTCATCATTTACTCACCCCCAAGTTGTTCCAAACTAGTTTCTTTCTTCTGCTGAACACAAAAGAAGGTATTTTGAAGAATGTTGGAAAACAAACAGTTGCTGGTAGCCATTGACTTCCATAGTATTTTTCTCCATATTATGGAAGTCAAAAGCTACCAGCAACTGTTGCGGATATTCTCCAAAATATCTTCTGATGACAAACGATGACTAAAGTTTTATTTTCAAGTTACATTGGTTAATACCAAGTATCGGTAGATTTTGAAAAAAAAACAAAAACATAATTTTTAAAAGTGTGTTGTAATTTAAATGCATCAATAGGTTCCTAACAGTGAACTTGAGCTTCAAGTCCTCCACGTCTACCAGTCAAAAATGGGCGCAGACTTCTTATATATGCACATACAAGTCCACAAGACAACAACTCACTGTTGTAATGAAGTTCACAGCTGCATAACTTTCCACAGCTCTTCTGCCCAGAAAATCCTTACGCAGTCACATCTTTACCGCTGTGCTTCGAAGCGTCTTTCAGCTATTAATAATCCCTTCCGTTTGGCTTTTCAGTCTTGACTTTAAATCAGATCTGAGCCCTATAATAACTCTCTCAGCCTAATTGTTTTTCTTTTAATTTAAAGCGTGCCAGAGCAGAACGGTAAAAGAAGAGACCGATAGCATTGTTAATGAATCCTGATCCCCTGATCCAAGACACCGACACAGGAATGAGGGATGCAGAAACCTGGAGATGGTAGACAGAAAGAGACAAATAATTAGAACAGTTCTAGAGTGTTTTACTCAATGTGCTTTGATTAGATTTTTGTACTTTCCTGGCCCCTTTTTGATCTAATAAGCTTGTAACATCCCGCCCTACTTTAATGACAGCAGTAGTGAAAATAACCATACTCAGCAGTAGCAATAAAGTACTAGGTGGCTTTTCATCTCTTATCAGAACTTTGTTGAGATGGATGGCTGTCACCCCCAATGTGATGTCACTGCAGAGCTGGCCAGAGTGGGCGGATTGATTGACAGCCCATGACACCACTCAGAGAGTTCCCCACTCCATAGTACTGGTGGCCTTTTGTAAGGTTTTAATGTTTGAGCTCTCCAAGCTCTCTGTATACGCTCAGCCATTCATAAAGGTATTGAAGTCCCAACAGTCTCTCATGGAGAATTACCTGATCTGACAGCATCAGCAAAGCTTCTCATTTTCGGCCAGCACTGCTTTGGGTTCAGTATCCTTTGAATATGGCTTACAATGATTGATTCGTTTAGATACAGTCACGGATGATTGCCTTGTGGGAGACAGGAGTCTGTCATTAGCTGTGTGTTAAAGTGGCTTCATTAAGTTTTGGCTCCTGGTGTCCTGTCACTTTGACCATATGTGTCTCCATCATACATGTAGCCACACCACATCTGCTACACATAAACTCACAGTCTTCAGTATCTTGCGTTGAACAGGTACATGCCATTTCCAGATCTCCAGATCAAGATCTTGTCAATGGGCATATTGAAATGTTCCTTGTATGTTTGCAGATTGGCCAGTTGGTGTTCAAGGGCATGAAGAGGTTGAACCGAATTCAGTCTATAGTGTTCGAGACTGCTTACAATACCAATGAAAACCTGCTTATCTGCGCCCCCACCGGTGCCGGCAAAACCAACATCGCCATGCTCACCATCATACATGAGATCCGCCAGCACCTGCAGCCTGGGGGAGTCATCCGCAAGGATCAGTTTAAGGTAAACAGACAGTCGCAGAGACAATATTGTTGAGTGAGCTGTTGGCTTTCTGGCAGCCAATAACTAATTTCCGCACCAGTCCATGTGCCTCAGGTACAAAACGACCTGATTGGATGCGTTTGTTTAGTTTATGTCAAGCAAGGATAGACTTGAGCATTAAATATGTGTCAATAAGTTTTACCATAGTTTGGAGATGTAAACGGATGCGTTGTCTCGTGAAGCGCATTTTCACACACGTGCATGCCAGCTTCAACAATGATAGACAGTCTTCATACATCACCATTAAACTCTTACTTTAAGCAGCCAGCTTCATATTTCTTTGTGAATTGTTATTTGTATTGGTTGCCTGGGAACCAATGGTACTGTGGTGTTTTCTCATTTATCATGAGCATGTCCTGTCTCTCTTTCCTGCCTCTATAGATTATATACGTGGCTCCGATGAAGGCCCTGGCTGCTGAGATGACTAATTACTTCAGTAAGCGATTGGAGCCTCTGGGCATCGCTGTCAAGGAGCTGACGGGAGACATGCAGCTGACCAAAGGAGAAATCCTCCGCACTCAGGTAACAAAATGGTAACGGATGGACCTTTGGCTATAATAATATTGGACATTGGCTGGTGGCAGGTAGACTTTGTTCGCCTCACTGGACTTGGACTTGGCAAATCTCAACCCCAGATCATCAGTGACTTCATCTGTTGTCTGATGCTTGGGTATGGTCATACATCATGGTTCTGTGAGACTCTATTTCCTGAGAAAAGGCCGGTGTAAAGATGTTGAGGGTGGTGTAATGTAGGTGTCAAAGATCTCATGTAGTAGCTGGTGGTAGGTGGTAGGTTAAATCCTGCAAGGGTTGATCCTTAAAATATGCCATTGTGTCCATGATCAAGAAGCTTAATCTTGGGTTACTCAAGAGGACTGAGCCTGTAATACGCTTATAATGGTAATTTAACAAATTAAATTTAGACTTCAGCTTTGTGTTAAATAAAGAGTAGAACACAGTTTTAAGACTGCAAGCCCCTCACTTTTGATGATGACTTTATATCACATAGACTTCCTTCACCCTTCATCCAAACTGCTTGTCCACATTATTGCTCTAAAACAAATTACAGATTGTTCTGAATGTAGGTGTATAGCCAAATCCTGCTTGATGGAGTCCACGAGGTCGTGCTCTTATAAAGCACTTGTCTTGTCTCACCGATCAATATGATTGTATAACTGAGACACATCCATTTGCAATGCTGCAGCGCACACAGTTCCGGGCCATCAGTTTCAGGACGGAAGTGTGTATGCGTGACAAGCAGTGAAGAATGCAGAATGTAAGCAGCGATTCGCTGCCCTTGCCGTTATACCAGCTCCCAAGGACTGCAAAATGATGATGCACTCTGTTAAAGTCTTTTGAAAATTGATGCTATGGTTTGAAACTCTGGTTGCACTTTGTTTTACAGTGAGTGCACTTATAGTGTAGTTACCAAGGATAAGTAATTTAAGTAATACAAGGTAACTACATGGCTTAATGTTAGGTTTAGGGGTAGGTACAGGGTTAGTACCTAGTTATTACTCAGGTATTGTAATTACTATAGTAAGTTCATGGTATGTACATGCGGAGCGGGACTGTAAAATAAAGTGCTACCGAGTGCTACAGAGATTCCGTAATTCTGTAGACTAACCTGGAAGTTACCATCACCCTGGTTCTGTCGACAAATACCAGTAGTATTTTTCCATTGGCTTTTGGATTTTTGTGGAAAATAAACTCTGTGACCAACAAGTTTGTGGTTACTTACACATTTTTTTTATTGTGATAACGAAAAAGACCCCTAAGCTTTTAAGAGTTTAGCTGTTCGGCGTGATGACATTTAATTTTTTAACATTTGACATTTAATTTTTTTTAAGATGGTAAAAGCTTAAAAAAATCACAAGTGCGGTGTTACTGATGTATTTTATGTTGTAGAATAAAATATCTTGAGCTTGTGTTAACCGTAGACTTTAATTCAGGCATTTAACCAAAAACCCAATGACTCTGGGTAATTGAAAATGGAAGTTCAAAAATGCTAACACATGTCTTGGTTTTAGGACTCATTCCTGCAGCCCTCTATTCATGTGGTGTAACATGTGCTCCCTACTGCAGTGGGTGAATTGACCTTGTATTTACAGTGGTGTTAAAGCACATATTTCTGAACATGTTTGCTTTCAGTTCTGTTTTGTGATGTTTCGCGCCACCATCACATTTTTCTTTCGGCCCAAATTCACGCTTCCAGGAAGGAAACATCCAGGATGACTTTAAGGGTGTGAATTGCTTAAATAGAGCATGTACCTCATATCAAACAAGCCAGTGTAAGCTGTGAAAATGAAGTCCTCTTGACTTCTACTGGCTGAATAAAAACATGTTATATACATGTTCAAAAAAGTTGCCGCTTCCTTCCACAACCATGTTTTTTTCTCCATGCCGTTGTCCTTTTTCCTCTGTCACATTCCCTTGCCTGTAGATTCATGCATTAATGGATAGACGAAGACTTCTAAGAGCACTTAATTGTTAAAACAAGAGTGAGGAGATGAAGAATAGATTTAGAGGATTGTAGAGAACAGGAAGGAGTCATGGGTCAAGTGGTGTGATGAGTGTAATATCAATGACTGTATAAAGGGAAATGATCCTTGTGTTTTCCCACAGGAAGCTTGCCTTCCTCGGACCATATCTATTGAGTGCTCTCGCTGTACTTCCCGAACAGCAGAGCAAACAAAGCAAAAATGGAGAGATATGAATCGAGGAGATGTGTTGTAGAATAATAAGGCATCATCACACCTTCTGTCAGGCTGAAAGCAGTGTTTTACTGCCCCCTCAGCCCTGTGTCTTTTAGACAGTGGCAGGCTTGCACAACAGTTCTTTAAAAAATGACCATCTCTGCAGTGGTTAGCTGGGAGAATATCAAGTATCTTGCCTATTTTTGCAGCATTGGAGATGTCTCTGAGGTGTCTGGTAGACGCTGAGACAGGAAAAACAAGTGGTCATTACCGGCAGACCTCACAGTTTGGCTCGTGGAGCTCAGAGACACAATGTCATTGAGCGCGCCTACTTTTTGGCCATGCACACAGCGTGTTTTAACCGTTAATTTAGTTAATTGCACAAAATGGCATGGGAACATAAGGTGGTGTGTCATGTCTTATTTAGACCATAAAAGTGGTCATTATATATTGATTGGTAGTAAGCATCAGAGCTGTATCTGCTCGAAGTTAACAGCAGGTTACAACCTAACCATTCTATTATTTGTTGTGCCTTTCCTTTAATCACGGTGCATTCTTTCTGTTTTCTCTTTGTCTTTCTCTTTCCCCACATTTATTTCACATCCTCTCTCTCATATTCCATATTCTCCTTCTCTCACAATTGCCTATTCAGATACCTCAACACAATCGACCTCAACATCTATATGAAGCCTAACATCATCCAACACATTCATACCTAACAATACATGTATACCTACCCTATCATCCTCCAATACACACATGCATACAATGAGATCTCTCCAGCACACACATGCTTACCCCAGCATCACCCCCTCCTAGTGCTGCTTTTAGAGAGCTTGTCATTTTCTGCTGCTTGGATCATAGCACTTTGTCTGTCGTCTTATATTCTTGTTGCTATAGTAACCACTGTACAGTAAAATGCCTAATATATAGAACACACAGCTGTTCAAATGACCTTACTGAAGACTAAATTTGTGCTGTCAGAGGCGGTGCTAACATTTAAATAAGAGGGCATAGTAGTGCTGGGCGGTATATCGGTTCATACTGAATACCGGTGTTTATTTTTGTTATGATATGAATTTTTAAAATACCGCAATAAGCGACCGTATGTCGCTTAAACAACGTTCGGAACGCGACACTGTTTGAAAGGGGTCCCTTTTCACTGGTGCACTGTGGTGAGGGAACAGCTGTATGTGTTACCAGGCGTGAAAGTTCCGAAACTGAAGCTGTAGAACAAATAGAACGTGATGACACAGAAGAACTCATCCAAAAAAAAATACCATCATGTACCGTGAAACCGGTATAATTTTGAAAATATAAATGATATAAATTTTTGGTCATACCGCCCAGCACTAGGGCATAGGTTATAAGATGGAAAAGACAGAGATGCCGACCCTGATAATTAGATTATAAAGCAATCAAAGATACATCAGCATGGCTAATATTAGATAAAGGAATAACCTTGATCATAAGTATGTTGAATTATTTAGAAAGTAAAGAGAATGATCTTCACTGTTGTAACGGTAACTAAAGTGATAGATTTTTCTCTGGATTCTTTGCCAATGAATTGCCCAATACTTGCACATCAGAGGATTCAAGTCTTGGCCCTCCCAGACTGTTGTGGGAGTAATGTAATATGCAAATTGAAGCTAATCAGAGAGGTGAAGGATGTTTATTCTAGAAGCCCGGGGATGTGAATAGATCCTCACCAGTAATGGGAATGTCACAGAGGAAATTACCTGTTGATGTATGAAAATTCTGTCACAAAACAACAAATAGGACACTAAAATGTCGGTTCTATATTGTCGGCTCACATAGAGTTTTTCAGTATGTCTCAGAGGAGAGCAGGGGAAAGATGTGATGAGCGTATTTGAGCAGAGAAACAAGAGATTCCAAGTGAAGTCCAGTAGAGTATTTTTAAAGGGATATTGTTTATATCAGGTGACAAGATTACAAGAGAGCGGTGTCTGTTATTTTTTTACAATGCAATAAGAAGAAAAAAAAAAAGAGCAAGAAGCCATGTCACGGCACATGGTAAGGCTGAAAAAAGGTCCTGCCACAACAGTTCTTGTCATTTGAGTGAGTACATACACTGAGCATTACTGACTGAATATTTTGCTGATGGGAAAAAAGTAGAGCACATCGGATAATGTACAATCCAGCCTGTCAATGTGATGCGTAATTAGTATTTGTAGTGCAACCTCTTGTTGAAATGCTTATATAAACAGAGTATTGTTTTGATAGCACCACAGTGTTTACACTTTTCAGGAAAATAAAACCACAAATGGTTTAATTTGAATGGTTTTGCATATTAAAATGGGGTTGAAAAAAAAACTTTTTAAAAAAACAAAACAACGCACTTCAACTTTGAATTAGTTTTTGCAAATTTAAAAAGTGAGATGCAGTACTCATTTCTCATTGAGGTTCACACAGAACACTGTGTGTAAAGTGTACGAGGATATGTTTGCATTGGTTGTTGACTCATTGAACAGTATTTTCCTTAAAAATGCACCTGAAAGAATGCCTCTTAACATATGAGGTAAGTCTGGCACATTGTGTTTTAGAACAGTTTGTTAACGGATTTTTATTTAATGTCTGGCAGGCCAGCTGCACTCCTGAGCCTGAAGACTGAAGTGTATTCATATGAATCTTTTGGGGATTTTTATTTATTATAATTTTTTTTACGTTGATTAAATTAAAAAATATAGTACTCCGATACTACAGGTAGGAGGGTTTGAAATTAGCAGGGGCTTGTGGCTAAATGCCACCAAATGAACAAAAACACCCCACAAATGCAAGATAAAGGGGCAAAAAAAAGTTGCATCA